AACCAAAAGGCCAAAAATGAAAAAGAAAAATTTAGTGGAAATAAGTTGTACTACAGTGACTAATGCAATATTTGCAATAACAGCTGCTATTGGTATGCAGATAACATAAAAAGGAATTACAAATAAATAAAGGAAGAGTTAAAGAACGATAAGTCATCGAAGTTTATTGAATTCTTTCTAAGAAATTTATTAGTAAACGAAGAAAATGCTACTTTAAAGGCATTCTATATTTTTTTAAACAATATTTGTTTACATTTTTTATTTTTCAAACATTATTCGAACTTCGATATACATACATATACAAGGAAGATTGAGTATAATTTACAGATAATAGAGGTCTTAATAGTTTTGAAATTAAGAAGACATTAAAAACCTCAATTTCATATTATTTTGACGAAAATTTATTTGATTTTTAATTTTTCGAATTTGTGAGATCACAAATGAAGATTGAATTTGACTTATAGATAAAGCGTCAATAGTAGTAAAAATATTAAGGTGATATTCTAGTGTAGAAATAAAAATTGGTTTCTAGGATTTACTAGTCCGATTCACCTTAAGAGATAGAACTAAAATTTATATGTTGAGATTAAAATGGAAGCAATAAAGGAATATTTGGCGCAAATTCCATTAAGTTATCTGGAAAGACGCGCAAAAGTTTATAAAGAGCTATATACAATCGAAAGAAGCTTCATTTTGCTTTATAGACAATGGAATTCACTTCGTTCCTCGGAATGATTTTGTCACATTTTATATGCTTTCAAGGAAATTAAAAAAATAGACAAAAACGAGTACWTCACGGCGTATGAGTAACATCAGTWTGTCATCAAAAAATACAAACTACTTCAAATGAATAAAGTTTTGACGAAATATCGAACAATGTGCGAGGCCTCAAGGCAAAGCGACTCTTSTGATAACAAAAGTTATGCTACACTTTCGCAGCAAAAATCACGAATCGTGCCTTTGAACATAATTAAATACATAAAAAAATACAAAAAATGGCAGAGCCATTGGCCTCGCAATAAGTAATGCGTTACGCCAGGATAATACGGCTAATCAAATTGTTGGTGCTTTTGCATGGCAAAAAGTCTAGTATACAATAACAAATACACCGACACACAAGGTCGAAAACTACCAAAGTACAACTTCATTAAGTTTCCACTATCAACGATGCCAAATCATATACTTTCGGAGAGAAAAGAAAGTTTATTTGCCAATAGGTAACTGGTCACCGCTCAGTAATTATCAGTTACAAGGTTACATTTGTTCGAGTCTCGGGAGAAAGTAAGTTTTTCTCCTCACTCACTCTCTCTCATTGATTTTGCGCAAATGCTGCACATATTTTCTTTTTTTTTTTTTGATTAGCCTTTAAATATTAGATACATTTATTTACCATATTATCAATATTTTTATTATTAAAGCTTATATATATAATAATAGATTTTGCGTTACAATAATTTATATTTTTTTATTGGTTGGAATAAAATATCAGATGTTTCTCTTTTCTAATGTTATAATCGTGTGTTTTTATTAAGAGTTGCAAAAGGAAAATGAATAAGCATTTTATGAAGGATACTAAATTGCTAGGGTCCTGGCTCCTGTTGTCGTCTTCACTTCCTGTTGTGGTTCACGCTAGATTTCAATCCTCAGGAAATGGATTTACTGCTGCACAATTAAAGAGTAGAGTTGAACTGAACTGTCTGATACTTATGTCTTGTCTTTTATACCTAAGCTGATCGTCAGTGAGGCATCAAATGTAATATTTGAAATTTGACTTCTAATACGTGTCYCAATTAATTTTGGTTSGGATTTCTTTGAAGTTTTTCTTRSTCMGAAAAGGTYAATTTCCMATGATAGCGTTTAGTGTCAAATTCTATTGCGTAAGTACTTATGTGGGCAGATGTGCCATCGCKTTAGTGGCTGATCGTAGGTTATCACTGAGTGTCCAATTATATTCGTAAGTATGTTCATGCCTTTGTATCAGCTCATTGCGTAATTATGTTTGTTTGTTCATGCGTATATATCAGCTCTGGAATATCGAGTTAATTGTTGCTGCTACTGCTGGGGACATAGTGGCTATAGTAGTTGTAGTAGCTGTTGTGGTTTTGTTATTCTTCACCTTCAAAATATATATTTTATTTTTAAGTGAAAGATTGGCAATTTCGTGTTTGTATTTTTTTATTGCACCGAACAAACGTAAAATATTAATTTTAGAAAAACACACAACGACAACATTTTCTTTYATGAACGCAAGCGCACTTTCAACAGGCAAACTCGCTTCATTCATAAAAGCAGACACCATCACATCTTCCCGAACATGCCTTTGCCGACAAGCGTCTTTTTGTGATGATGGCAAAAGCCAAATATTATAAATTGAACATTTCTGATTTTTCTTCCAGAAGGGAAAAGTGTCAACCCCGCAAAGCACAGAAATAAGTGACAAAAATCTAAAATATTTTTCTTTCCTCTTTGTTTACATGCACATATAATTACATACTTACGTGAATATGTGCGGCCGCTTGGTCTTTTAAGATGTTAACAAAATGTTTAATTCCCAAACAAATAAAGATATAAATACATATGTATATAATTTATTAAACCTATATTAATTACGTATTTGGAGAATAATACACACCTTACTGTTTTATATATTTTATTGAAATCATCATGAAATAAGCAATTAATAATTAATAATTTGAGCATACATACATATTATTACATGTTAGGGGAGGTTGTTGTTCACTTCCTCTCTATAATATTATATATAATTTATTTAAAACAATGCAGTTTCGTGTTTACAATAGTACACCGAAATATAGAARGAAAGAAATATTAGTAGTTAAAATGAGATAAGTATACCAATGTAGTGCTAGTTCTTGGAGTTTCCTTAATGACGCCTTCTGAACGTGCTGCCGGCTTCCAATCAGTAGCTGAACTATATTTCAATTGAGCTGTTGCGTTGGTGGTGTTGACTCTTTTATACTTCATTTGAGCAGTGGCGTGATGACTGGCGCCGTATTTCCTTAGGACGTGATTGGAAGCCTGCGTCAGAATTTTTATCTAAAATGAAAAGAAATAATTATTTGTTATTATTATCTGTACTGACAGTTTATCCTGCTTTCAAGCTATAAAAAACTGCAATAACTCCAATTACATGATTTGCGCCATCAGAGATATTTTGATATCGCTTCCTCATAAGCTCAGAATTATGTGGGTTCCCAGCCTCGCGGGTATAATTGGAAACATGCTTGCGGACTCAATTGCCAAGGAAATGTGTCACTCTCTTACTATAACCGCACCATTTATTGATAAAGGCGATATCTACCGGCTCATCGCTCAATGGAGAAGCTCCAATTTAGCTGTTGATTGGGTAAATTACAATCACCATTACTCAAGGATTAACCCAAACCGCACGACACCTAATTTTCCGACCTCCCTGCCAGTCAATCTCATCACTCCGTACGTCAGACTCCGCATTGGACACACTATCATTACCAATGCACACCTACTGGACGGTAGTCACATCAGCCAATGCCCCTTTTGTGAGTCAACKATCAGTGTGCTACACCTACTCGTTTTTTGTCCTGCTCTAGACAACCTCAGACTTAAAATTTAACAATGACGATCCTGTTCAGCTTTTAATGAACCCAACTATTAGCAACATATCTAAAATTTACAGTTATCTGAAGGATACAGATCTTCYTCGTTGCATTTAAACAAGTATCTAATTTTTCGCACCAGTCAGCCGAAARCCTTTGATGCTAGCGCTGCGTACTTTAGTTTATTTAATAATTTGTTTATTATGTAAGCTTTAATAAAATAAAATAAAATAAAATAAAAAAAATTATTTGTTGTTTTTGTTGAGGTACCTACTCTATATTTCCTAACTAAATTTCCATAACTTAATCCATCTGTCGACATAGATACGTAAACAAAATAGAAATGCGAAGGGTGAATGCAAAACCAATACGAAGAATTGTGATTAATGCTTCATTAAGCCCTTTAGCTTTTTAACTTACTTTATTGTAAGATAGAAAATTCGCATTTTTTTCAGCCGTAAACAATTTCCTCGACGTTGTAAATATCACTTAGAAGAAGTCAATGTATGCAACTATTTCATAAATACTTTGCAAAAATTAGTTTTCCTTTTTAGTTATCGCAGCTAAATTACTTACATTTAAATTTGGTACCRTCTTTTTATTTATTTACAATAATTACTCTTGAATATTTTCTATGCGATGCACAAACAATAAACAATTTAARTAAACTCAACTCACTCGATTCACTCAATTCGCTGGGAAAATTTAACTAATGAATAATCAGCGAATGCAATCCAACGAGTACGACAGTGTTGTAAATCACTGAATTTCATTGCCCAAATAATTGAGGTGTAATAAAACATATATATTATCTAAATATATTTTATCAAAGTAAAATCATCGAAAATAGAGGTCTTGGCACGCCAAATTCTTGAAAATTTCTATATCGATGCTTTAGACACTTTTTAAGAAGAGTTAATAAAACTTTGAAATAATTATTTCTTAAATGGAATGGTTGTTCCCTCAATTTAAGGTATCTAATATTTCTGAATATGATAAATATTTAAGACGAAATTATCCTTGGTAATTATGTTTGGTAAAGTAGCCAGGTGAAATTGTTGTTTCAGAAAATAAAGCAAACAGATAAAAAATCATCTTGTTTTACCTRTAAAATATATCACCAAGCGACGATTACCGAAACTCCAATATAGTTCATTCACGAGTTCATTTTAGGTTGGAATCTAACATAGTGCAACTAACAATCCTTGAACAAAATCACAGAAACTTTAACAGAAATCTTTATGGTAACGCTATTGGGTATTAAATCAGTTATTTAACTGATAGCTTCAAGGGTATTTAATAAAAAAGATTGGGTGGTATATAATCAGTGTTTACCCATTTTTGTTATCGACAATCGAGTCAAAACGATAAATTTGTGATTCTGTCATTGAAATTGTGGAAATATATTACTTATAAACTCTGGAGCCTTTTTCTCATTGTACAATTTATTTAAGGTCCTTTCAAATATACATATACATAAATGATTGTATAGGCTTTACTTTATAAGTAATATAATTGTAAAAAAAAAGATATTTTGTATCAAACATAGTAAAGATGGAACCAAATACCGAAAATAAATTGGACGAAGTGCAGAGACAGATATTTGATCGCATTGCCAAAAACGATGTAAATGGCTTCAAGCAGCTGATAACCCAACTAAAGGAGGGTGTCGATTTTGTAGATGAGGATGGGATGACTCCGCTCCAACATGCTTGTTGCAAGGGTAATAAAGAAGCAGTACAAATATTATTAGATATGGTAAGCTCATAAGGCAAACATTTTAACACGTGCTAACATTRTATTTTGTCAGGGTGCTGATATACATTTCAATAAACATGGCGCTGATTATACYCCGTTGCACTTCGCAGCTTTGTCAGGCAACACGGAAGTGTGTCGGCTTATTCTAGATGCTGGTATAAATCCAAGTAGCTTAAATAGCGTTTCTCGAACAGCATCACAGATGGCTGCTTTTGTTGGTAATCACTCCTGCGTGGAAACGATCAATAACTATGTTCCYCGAAAGACATTGGAGTACTATACACGTGTACAGGGTCAACAAAAAGAGCCACTGATACCTCCGGGGATGATGGATTTGTTTCATCAATTTGTTATAGAAATTAATTTGCATCCTGTGCGCATCGCACTAAATTTACAATCTTTGGGATTGTTAAAAAATTTGCAAGGTTTGAAGAAAACTTTGGAGTATATGTGTGAAAAGGAAATGAAGAAGACCAATGATGTTAATGAACTCATGGCATTTAAATTTCACTATCTTGGTTGGATTGTGTCGGAATTGATGCGCTGCGAGGAACAGTGTAAAGCCCAACGTAAGGAAAAGTTGAATGAAGTTGATGCAGGAAAGCACGATTTTGTAGAATTATTTATAAAGCGAGTATTAAAAGAAAACAAAATTGGCCAGCTAGATTACATAGAATTTACTCTACGTGATTGCGTGCGTGAGTTTCCGTTCAGAGATTGCACTGTGTTTCGTCAAGTTGTTTCCCAACTAGCTGCTAAAGATCCGCAACCTGCACTAATAGTCTTTCGCAATGCTATTAACGGTCATCGTGGTTTTGCGGTAATATATTTTAATTTTTATATAAAGAAAAATTATATTTCATAATAAATTTTTCCATCATATAATTTATTAGGATGATACATCATATTGCAGTTCTTGTGGCAATGAAAAACCAGACAAAAAGTGCTCAAAATGTAAACAAGTGAAATATTGTGATCGTGAATGTCAACGTTTGCATTGGTTTATGCATAAAAAGACTTGCGCCAGGCCTACCTCGAACGCTACGGCTTCGACCAGCACTTCATCAGCTAAAGAGCCAATAGATACAGCTGAATTACATGAGGAACTTTCCAAAATTACTACTAGCTAAATGATGTGTATATTTGTACGACTAATAAATGTTTGGTACCTTTACCGTTTATATTCACCTTATACCAGTATATACATACATATATATATGGGGTATATACCGTTCGTAAATCAGTTATGATGCGTTCAGTTTATAGCAACATAAAAAAATTWTATTAATAAATACTGAAATTTTTAACTGCATACTATTCCAAATGTATATATATACATATCGCTACGAATGCCAGATATACAAATGTGTGGAATTGAAAAATCAAGTTTGAAAACTTGCTACTTTCCGATATGATAAAAATGTATGTGTTCCAATTAATGCTAATTGAATTATTGTTGATTCCGATTTTGAATAAATGTCAGGCTTATAGTGAAAATCTGATGAAAAAAATTTTCCAGTATTATATTAACGAAAGATTTTGAAAATTAAAATGATCAATTAAAAGTATTTTAACTAGTAAGAAATAGCGCAACCGAACATTTTATAGTATTTCAACTCGCAAGAATCAAAGCCAGGGAAGATGTAAAATGTCAACCAGAGGATCGAAATGTAAGCAATTTTATATATACAGATACTCTATATAACTCATACACTGACCGACAAATTCGACATAAGGTTTGTCAGAAAATCGACATCATATGTAGAATATGKGAGTTGGTGTAGTATCGACGCGATTGTATCTACTACCTATTACCATGCCTGGAGTGCGATGAAGGTTGGTTTGAGGGACACATCGGAAGAGGAGTCATGTCCGGAACGGACCCGGATTTTTATCCGGCCAAGGACTGTCAACTCGGCAGAATTCTGCCGTTACAACAACAACAACAGGAGTCATGTTACCTATCTGAGCTCCTATGGACCGTAGAACCGGATGTTCGAAAATCCTGGTTACAGAGACGTATATTAATAGAGAAGGTTCACGATGTCAAAAATTTAGGGATATTTCAATTTTGGGATATTTACTGTTTTGGATGAGCGYGCTTCAAATCAGGKGACACGGAAATAGCAGAATTAAGAATTTTTGTAGCCGACTCTGCATATAATTTATATACATACATACATATGTATGTTATATTTTATATCAAAGCAAGGAGGCATGTTGAAAATTTTTTATTGGTAGTGTTTTCGCGGGTCCCAAACCCAGCACACAAYCCTATGTAGGGGRTATTTAGCCTTCTCTATKTAGCTCGCCTTCAAACGGATGTTCTTAGACCACCCAGAGGATACTTGGTCAAAGACCGGAAGTTGTGAGCTGCTTGAGTCATATGTAAAAGAATCGTTTCTGGCCACTCCCAAGTGAWTGGCGATCAGAGAACTCTCCTGGCTAGGTCATGTTGTCCGAATGGACGAAAACACTCCAACTCTGAAAGTATTCGATGGGGGATTCGGGGAAGCAGAGGAAGAGGAAGACCTCCACTCCGTTGGAAGGACCAGGCTGAGAAGGACCTGGCTATGCTTGGAATATCCAATTGGCGCCACGTAGCGAAAAGAAGAAACGACTGGCGCGCTGTTGTTAACTCGGCTATAATCGCCAATTAAGAAGAAGAAGAAACAAGCATGTACATAYATACATACGTACAAATTGAACCATTTCATGATAAATTCCTTWAAACTTTTTAAAATATGTAATAAAGTCATGTTTATGTTTTTTCCTAAATATTTAATTAATGTAGGTTTGATAAGATATATATTTATACATATATACATATATATTTATATACCTACATATTTATTTGCAGGCCTTTAAAAGTTTTGATAACTTCTTAAAAGACAAAGCGGTCGCACATATTCACGTATGTAATTATGTGTGCATGTAAACAAAACGAACCATACGCATAATGTTTGTATATTTGTCCACACACAACTTTGTATGTAAATATGTACATATGCATATTGTTTCTTGCGTAATTTCCGTTGACACGGAAAACCAATGGCGAAGCTCACGTTTTGTCAAAGAGTCAATGCGTCGACGACCGACGCGGCAAAAGCGTCACAACATTGTGTTGTTGGTAGAAAATCCGAGCTGTGCCGAAAACACAAACGAACTATCGCCAATTGACACTGCTTCCCTTGCCGCTGTAACAGCTTCTCCMACAAACCAGCGTAAATATGTATGTTTCTGTATGAACTTGTATAAATATAGTATACGTTGTCTGACCCGATTCAACCCATATTTGATACCCAGAAATACTATTGGCATGAAATGGTTCTCACTAAATTTCAATTCTATGTCTCACACATTGATCGTTATTTTTGGTCAAAAGTCAACYATAGATAATGGATCCCACATATTCCGGCCTTAGGTGCCTGAACAGTTTTGGTTGGATTTGGTGAATTTTTGCTCATAAGGTGGCATACTTTAAAGGAATAATTAGGAGTCCAAAATTTTATCCCGTCATATTAACTACTTCTTGTTTTGTGTACTGGAAAGTGAATGAATCAAATGAAATTTAAAATTGCGTTATATGCGCCCATTTTCCCCATGTGACCTAGGAATATACGAAGAATCTTACGTACTAATATTAGTCCAAATCGATCGGTCCCGAGATATGYAACAAAGTGGACGGTGCCACGCCCATGTTGTTATTATAGCGAGTACCTAGTCCCCGTTAGGATGGTAATGATAAGCTAAGTCAGTTGTTATCAGAAGTTTGTTGCGTCCGAAGACTGGTCGACGTATTGTCAGATGTCTCCAACGTAGTTGAGGAGTGCCCTTTTGATGTTCTTAGGAGGCGGTTCCGCTCCAAGCAGTTGCAAGAATGATTTCTGCGAAAGCATCTCTGCAGAAGCTGCCTGGAGAGTTGTTCATTATGCCCYTTAACTGRAAGCATACGGCYCTTAAGAGCCATCCTGTCRTAGTTTGGAGCGCAGTATTTTGACAAGTCTGAAGTTTMMYCGTCTGCGTTTCACTGCATCCGGGCGACCATATTGGTGCGGCATAGTTARGTACGGGGCAGCCGATTGCCTTGTAAGTTGCCAACAACGTTTCTTTGTCCTTTCCCCATGTGCTGCCGTCTAGCGACTTGAGGATTTAGTTGCCACACTGTACTTTGACGATAATGGCGGTCGCRTGACCATTGAAAGAGCACAGACTATCAAAAGTCACATCTAAAATCTCAGGATTATCTGTACTCCTTCGCCCAGTTTGTAAATATTGTCTAATCCCGTTTAGATCGGTGCCACGCCCATCGTCCACATTGGCTCTCATAAAGCTCTATATATTTCGTCTCGGAGGTAAGATTTACAAGTCAGAAATAAAAAGTATTTGTTTCTCAATATKTTTATACTAATTTTAGTTGTTTAATGTATATACATATATGTAYAAAATATAAATAGGTGAATATCCAAATATATGCTACTTGCGCCAGAAGAACATAATTGATTAAAAACGAAATTTTTAGAACGCCAAAATGGCCGATATGCTAAAGTTATTGCGCTTCGTTTGTTTCGGTTCCACTTCGTCTTCGTTATGTGTTCTGGTGGTYTCGCCTAATATTGCTGGACTTTCTGCAGTTTGTTCTTCAATTAAATGCGTCGCCGTAGCTGGATTTCCAAATACTTTCACTGCCGGCGTAATATCGGTAGCKGGTGGAAATTGTGGCAACCGCGAGTATGGCAAGTGCGTCTGTAAATTTACTTTTTGTGGCAGATGCGCTAACAACGGCTCCATTCCATCCGGTGTTRTGGACATTGGTGGATTGATGTTGGCTGCGGCTGCTAAATATGTGGCGGCGGCAATATCGATGGGCGGACTATTTAAGAACTGATACTGCATGGGCTCCCTGTGGTACATAGCCATTGCCGAGTACATATTTTCATCATATTGTGGCGGCGATATACTCTCACAGCTACGTGAATTGCTCGAGTTTACATAAATATCATCATCGTAAGAGTCGAACGAGCGGCAGCGTTTTATTGATGATGAGTCCATTCGACCACTGCAAACGCTGATGCGATCATCTTCGCTAGATACAAATGAATTTTTGCTGGGACTGGATGGACTTTCGCCTAAATCCTCTTCGTCGGAATTCAAGGTGTTTAGCTTGCGTTTGCAACGTGACTGGCCCGTTTCACGAAAGCCTTTGGCAAAAGGATTGTTATCAATCTTTAACTTTGTAATGCGATCATTCTAAAAGTGCAAATAAATTTAAAAATATGTTGATTAATTATTTTGCAAAAGTTGCGGACATTTGTTATTGATTTTTTTTTTATGTACATATATGTGTTAAGAGATTCCATAGGTTTACGGGTTTCAAAAAACTGTMTTTTTCAATTCTACAACACCTCTAGAATGTTGTCTAAATTTTCAATCAAGTTGATCCGAGTAATAGTTTCGGAGAGATAGCCTTGAAAACTTGCATGCGCTCGCGGCTAGCTAGGCTAAGTGCGCCGTCTTTATACGCGTTTTTCTCGCAACTGTGTTTTTGAAGTCGGTTGGCAAGATTTCTYGAGAACTGTTCAACTAATCTTCRTGAAATTTTACCGGAACGGACCCGGTTTTTTATCCGTCCAAAGACTGTCAACTCGACAGAATTCTGCCKCTTCAACAAAARCAAATTTYACATAGGGCTTTGAAATAAAATTCTTACAGAATTCAACGGATTACTTTTTTTCCAATTACAATTATTTTTAAAAAATATTGGGAAACTTTCACTGAAATTTACATTTTTTGTAAAATTTCGAATTTTCGTTTTTCTTTGCTTCTAATTTAAGATTTTAATAAAACACGTATTTTTTCACTTTAGATGATCCTGTAAGGATGCCAACACAGTCGCATTTTTTTCGATGAGCACCGGGAAATGGAGTTTATAATAATTKCTTTTTCAAAAAATTCAGAATTTCTTTGTTAATATACACTATGTAACAATAAAAAGTTCTAATAAAATATTTAATTTTTATTGAGATAAAAATTTTTGAAAAAAAGACTGTTTTATACACGAGGAACCCATGTAACCGCTTAAAGCGAAAATATAGAATTCATAAACATAAAACACACGAACCTGGTAAGCAGTAACTGCAACGAATTCTGTTTCGGGAAAAACGAAAGCCTGTTGCGGAGACCACGGCAGCTGCGTTAGGTCCGAAGTACGGATGATGTGCAAACGCGGTTGATACTTATGCATGCTGGCGAGCACAATCTGAAGATGTCAAAGAAAATAARTCAACATTTTTTAACTAACAAGCATTCGCAAAACACTCACATGTCCATTGCTGTCCAGTGTATTATTGGTGAGTTTAACTTTGTTAAAAATAATGGCTTGRGATTGCCAATGTGCACCAGTGGCTGGGCTGTCAGGATGCAAAAACATGCGTTGGGGGCTCTGAGGCTCAGCACCRCCAGCAGGTATCCAATGTGAGCCAGAAAACTTAAAGCGACAATCACCAACGGGAACCATTTCGAGCAAAACACAATAATTCGCTTCGTTTTCGAGACCAGAGACGGACACACGCATCGATGGAAACATTCGCCTGCAATACAAGGCAGTATCATATTAGTTATAAAGTTTGAAGATTGATAGATATTGAATAGAGAAAACACAAGCACAAAATATATACTATTTATACATAAACATTGTTAACAGTCGTTTGTGATTACATGCATACATATATATGTACATATGTATGTATTTGTGTACATATGTTTCGTACTTTGAAAGGTGGCAAATCAATATATCAAATGAAACTATCATCACTAGAATAGGCCACAAAATGTAGGCGTAACTTATGTGATTTGTGGTTTTATATCCAAACGAACTAAATATAGATGATTGGTTCGGGCCGGTTAACAAGTGTGTAATTATGGCATGGCAGAAGGCAGACTACCTGACAACAAAAACAAACCTTCCATGAAAATAAAAAATAAAAGATCAAAATTAAAGCCAGCAATGGCAAAGGGCCTTCCGTCATAAAGTAGAACAGCAGGGAGCATAACGAATTGGCGCCATGAAAATTGATTTCAATTTTAAGAACAGCGACGACGACGCAGCAAAGAACAAGCCAAACATTACCACATGAACTCACACATTTCTTAAAACATTTTTAGTATATGTATGTATGTAAAAAAGCACATTCTTACCCAGATATGCCAGTATACTGCAGATACTACTGACGTGTCTGCARTTTTATTCAATTGATGCGCAATGCCCTGCTCATAATGGTTTGTTACCAAAACAAAGTGCACATGATTAATTGATTTTAACGTGCTGCGCTCGCTGCTGTAAGACTGAACTAATGATGTGGTAAAGGGGGTCAACATTGGTTGTGAACTTGACGGCCACATATGCCATTCTGTAATTAGCACCCAATATTGATCTATGCTATATACYCGTGCATATGTGTGTATGCAAGTGATAGCACAGAAGTCACAAAATCCAACAGCAGTTTTCAAAGCACAAACGAGCTTAGTGGGGGTTTTTAAATTTGGTCACATTTTTGGTGTGTAAACTATTTAACGTTTATTCTAATTTACTGCTGGGAATTGAATATGTAAATACATATTTTGGCTTTTAATCGCAGACAGAAGACAATTCAGTTAAGAGCAAGTGTAATTCTAGCGAACCAAGTGTATGAAATATAAAGAAAAGGTKGAAAGAACAAAGCGCCGTCCGTGGCTTCTGCCTATTCGGCGACCAACAAATRTGACGGTTGTTGTATGTATGTAGTTTTATGATCCCATTGGCGCCACACAAGTGATTCTCCTACTCTCATTCTTTGTAATCTGTGCAAGCATATGCACATACATACTTGTGTATTTAAAAAAAGGCCTGGATATTTGTCCTTTGGATCATACCGTCGTTGCSTTCGGAAATTACCACCCGTTGAGATATTTACGCGTGTTAATCATTTGAGAAAGTTTTGTAAATGGAACACTCGTACAAGACACGTCAAGAGCAGCAAATTTTAAACATATTCCTATATTTTATATGCTTAATCATATGCAGTGGTATGTATTATAATGGGTAGTTAAAAAAGTCTTTTCGTATTTTGTCAATAGATGAATAGATTTCGTTGCAGTCGTATATCTAAAGTGCTATATCAGTTTGTGTAGCACAACAATGGTTCGCTTGCTTCCGTTCTGGAAATTTCGAAATTYCGATTTACACTGATAAACGTTTTACACTGATGGAATAATCTCTCTAACGAAGCAATGGCAAAAAATGGTCGACCAAAATGGTACATATTTGTTTATTTATTTATTAGTACAAATATAAAAAAAAGTTTGAAGTTTGATTAGAAAAACGAAAAGACGTTTTCGACTACCCAATATTATTTATCCATAATCATATGCAGTGWTATCTAGTATATGTATATAGTGGTACATATACATATATTATTTATATGTACATATGTATATCTGTAAATTTACCTTCCGCTCTTTGTAATGATCATTTCCGTACCGATTCTATGAAACTGTTTCCACAATTCGTCGTTTTCCAATTTTGCTTTTACACCAGGCAATGCCGGGCGTTGTGGCATTATTAAGTGATGGGGCATATGAAACGGCAGCATAGGTGGAAATGGATCTGAAATTAATAACAAGCCCGTAATTAGTTGTGGCCACCACGATGACTTACAATAAAAAAAATTTAAAAAAAACGCCGACGGTAAAATTTTGGTCGAAAATACGCCAATTCTTACCCGGTATACGCTGCATAATTTGCTGTCTATATAATTCATGCGCAATCTGCTGCTGCATTCTCATATCCACAAACTCTGTCATGCTTAGCATTTTCACTGATATGTTTTTTGTAGTTCTATTAGTTAGCACACTTAATTTTTTAAAAAATTTTTGTTATCTTGCCACACACAGTCACCGCTTAAAGTTTTAAGTATTTCCATACAACCGTCTAGATTATGCTTTTTATTATTGCTGCGAGCACGTTCACTTGGAAACTAACTTTTGCTAATAGCAATTCTGTCTTCGTCGGCTAAAAATTTCCGATCTGTTCTTCGAAGCGATATTAACAYATGCTCATTTCACACTATGCCCGAYACACAAGCTGCAACCTGTTTTTGTAGGTACTGTTGACTGACGATCGGCTCTCTATGCTGCTCAGTGTTTTCGATCTCTCTTTTCCCTTACTTTTCTCTCCAGCATTTTTGAGTTACATGTATATGTATGTAAAGCAACGCCTGATTGGTCTTTGGACTCGTGCGTTTATTACATTTATAGTAAATACAAGCTGTGAGCCGATCTCCATTTTGGAAAATTGTCAGGAACAAATATTGTATTTTCTTCTTATTTACTCAATTGAAATGTGTGCTCTTTCGTTTCATGACTCCTCCCATTGAATCAGTGTTGTTGCTGTGTTAACACTTCCTTTGATTATTAATTTATTTTGACGCATTTTTGTATATAAATGTGTTTGTATACAATGTAAGCTAATTTTGCTSAGGCGACGTTTTCAACAAGCTAGTCGCTTTGACTTCGTAATCCTCCAGATAGTCGTTCTCAATTTGTATCGACAATTATTTGAGCAMCTTCTGCTCATTTGATGCCTCTTGGCGTTCAGTGCCTACAATTGTTAGACATACAGATTAACGTTGTAATTAAATAATAGGTGCGATTTACTTTTGCGTATATATGAGTTTATTATAACACCGAATAATTTTGACATAAAAGTAGCCCTTTTAACATTAGAATATTTCACTCACATATGTACATATGTACATGTGTATATACGTACGTTTTTCAGGTTAGGGTCTGTAATATACATATGTAAGTATGTACAGTGAAGTTCCTCATAACCGGATATCCATTGTCAAAGTGTTTTTGGCCGACTTTGGCAGCTGTCCACATATGGGGGCGTGGCAAAAACGTGTACTTGTATTCAGACTGAATACTACTACTACTGAACTAATAAATGCGAGACAATGCTAGGCAGGCGTGAATAAATCWCAATTATCCCTTTAGTTTCCGTTAAGCCAACGCGACCCAAACGGCGCCAGCGCAAGTCAATTTGTTTGCCGTGATAATTTTGCATATTTTCCCTAAATAAAACTGTCGCAAAACTTCATAAGTATATTAGTAAGTTTTAAGAAAACACGGAAACTAAAAATTGTACACAATTTTCTTCACACATTTTATGAAATCTTGTCCGTTTATCAGAGAGTATTTGAACGAAATATTACTAATATAATGTCCGTGTCCGCGTCCAGTCATTAGAACATATTCATGTCAGTTTAAAGGAATTGGTTTTGTATGAAAGTTCTCGCGGCTTGATAGAGAATTTGAATGACAACGTTATGCGACGTTTGAACTTGATCGCTGGTAGTGTAATTTGAAACGTTGGTACCGACTCCTGCAAGAAAAACGTTGAAGAACTGCGATGGAGACCTATACTCTACAGTTCAATAATTTTTTTGCATATTCCGTACACTTCCGGTGACGAATGCGGGCTCTGAACGCACGAAAACGTGGCTGAGGACGAACATACTTCAAGATGGATTGGTGAGCCTGGTGTTACTGCACACGCATCATGACATTGAAGTCGCTGCATAAGAAGTTCTCGAAAGATTTTCAAAACTTGGCTCACCTGCGTTAATAAATACAAAAATATGTACATATGTATTAAACATATCTAAATGAGTTTTTGAAAGTGTTTACAATGACAATTATACTCATTCAAGTGGGTYTCAGGAACGATGTTACTGTTTATGGTTTATATTTCAACAAACGTATAAATATTTAATAAGCTTGCTACGATGTTTGTAACACCAAAAAGTSACAGCTGATGAACTAAGTCGAATTAGTCACGTCCGTAGGTCCGTCTGTCCCCCAGTTTTAGAGATATCGATCTGAAACTTTGTRCATGTACTTTTCTTCCCAAGAAGYTGCTCGTTTRTCGATATYGGAGMACTACAGCRTAAAGGTGTCATACTAATTATRCTTATTTRGTTGACGAGATATCTTCACAATTGGCATAGAATATTCAAAATATAGCTTCGGTTCTGCCGAAGTTAATGTTTTTCTTTGTCTTAAAGTAGAATACGCTTCGACATATGTATATTTGTATGCCCGAGTCCCTCTTCATGCGCAGCGGTATTCAACTATCATGCTAATATCCCAACTTCCTTCGTAACGTTTCCCCATCGCCTTTATGTCTTAATGGAACCCCTTTCACTGTTTCTCGCCAACAGCTTAAAGACTTTCGAAAAAAGAGTCAATGTGTGTATCTACATAATGAAACTTGACGCTCATATTTATATTAAAGCTGACTCCTTGCCAAACTGCTTCATCAATCTTGACTTTAAGGGGCGGCAAACGACCAAATCATATGTAAAATGCCATTTCTCTGATTGGTCATTCTTATTTATATTAATATATACATATTTAGTACCGTTTGTATATACCACAAGTTAACTATGCAGGTGCACAGATTTTGACACATCGATCTGAAAATTGTCACAAGTTCTTTTCTCAAGAAGCTGTTGGGGAACTAGCGAAGTTTCGTGTTCTCGGTTCAGACCGACTCTCTGTTGTAGCAGCAAAGAAGAAAAGTACGAGTATCATATAGCTGTCATATAAACTGAACGATCGGAATCAAATCCTTTTATTTGAAAATTTTGTAAGGCAAATACTTTTCCCATTGCCAAAACCCGGCTACAATTATAACAAGAAAAAGTAGGGAAGGTCTATGTTCGGGTGAAATGTAACTTATTATAAAAATAGATTGYATATTTTTTTGGAGATGGAATCATTGTCTTAGATTAGTACTTGTGCCAAATTTAGTGAAGATATTTCATCATACAAAAGGTTTCCATATAAGCAGGGATTTCCTGCAAAAATTTATAAAATGCAATGGAAAAACATGGAGGAATTGGAATTGAAAAAATTCTAAATATGTACATAGATATGTATAAAAAGCAATTTAAATCCTCTAAAATAGTATAGATGAGGATCGAGTCGAATTATTACAGGAAAGAGTTTTGCGCAGCGAAGCAGATCAGTTTCTAGTCAGTATTYTAAAATTCTAATACTTTAATATAGAGCTTTATGCTACGGTCTGTTAGTATCACAATGGCCTAAGTAACTACAACGAGCTTTATTGCTCATATTAACGATGTTCAGCGCCAAAAAGTTACTGCAGAAGAGTTCGTGTGATCAAACGGAAGCTGCTTAACAAATTACTTGGCATTAGTGTAGGTACATTCTTATCGTAAAGAAACACATGTCACAGCTACTGTGCATAGGACCTCAGGCGACAATAGTGTCTTTACCACATAAAAGGGAGATCCGCAACAAGAGATAAGAGACAAACAAGCCATAAGTCGACCATGTATGTACATCGATTGAAGTACTTTACGAGTCCTGCGGGCTTGTTCTGACTGCGCAATAATGCTGCACACATGACTGTGGCGCCACCGCGGCACAACATATCGRCTGCTTCGGCGACGATAAACAATAGCRAACCGACTGTGGGCAGATCCATGGTTAACGTSCATGCCACTTGACGACACATGGTATGTGTTTGTGAGAGTAAGGCTTTGCACTTGTAACGGCGGATGTTTGTGATCAGTCTGATTTTATTCTCTTAATTTTATTACTAGTGGCGACACACTTGCTTATGCACACACAAACCTCCATCACATGAATATGCACACTTTTATAAGTATCTACATATGTACATATCTAGGTACATATGTATGTATGTGAGAATATCTGTAACAGGTAGAACACAATTGATGTCATGGGCTAAGTAAATATTAAAAGACACCGCCTTCCCAAAATTCACACTTAACGACAATACCGCAGTATGCTACACAAAGGAAAAAAATTACTAAAGGGTCAAACGAGGACATAAGGCACTTGTCGTGCGTTCTTTTTTCTTAGGTTTAAGGATCATCAACGGCCACTGTTTGCTTGTTCCCATTTTATGATGCAATTTTTTTTTTTGTTGAGATACAAATACATCAATAGGGGTATATGTACATATGTGTGTATGCGAATTATTGTGTTCAGCACCTAACGCTCCAGACGGCGACAAAATTGCTATAAATTTTTTAGTTTTCGTAGATTGCGTCCACCCCCTTATTGGACAATTGAGCTGAAACGCCATAACGGAGCGTCACAATTCTTACACCAGCCTCAGTTCGGACGCTCAACGATTCGACTCCGATTTATTGAGGCACGAATTTATTACGTTGAGCATTTTTGGGAGGAAATCTGAACGTCATATTTGGAATAGTGGCGCCAAAGAGCACATGTCGTACCACGTATTCCCGATCGTACGTGAAATTAAGTTTTTAACCAAAACACAGGGAACTGAGGTTTTACAGACCATTGAAATTGAGTTCAAGCCTGAAATTAATATTTGWGTATACATTTGTATGTATGTATATATTAATAAAAAACAAGGTTCGAAATCGCGTTATTATAAATTGCTTATTTAGAGTATAATACATATATTTGCTGAAGAAATTAACAAAAAGTCGCTTGACACTAAATACATTTTATTTCGTTCGGGTAAAGTGCGTGAACTTAAGGATTTAAACTCGTACCAAAATTAAACAAGCCATCATAATCGACTATTGAGTGAAGCTAGCGATCTCGGCGACATTTGCTTTCAACAAGACGGCGCCACTTCCCATATATAGCATCAATCAATGGGTTTACTTAGAGAACACTTCGGCGAGCAGATAATTTCACCTTTTGGGTCGGTCGATTGGCCATCAAGATCGTGTGATATCATGTGCGGATATGTAAATTCTAAAGTCTRTGTGGACGAT